CACCGAGGTTGGGCTGGTCTGTGACTTCAATGATATGCACTTTTCAATGACCGTAACAGTAGCCTCCCACCCAGTGACAGTAGCAGGGATTGCATCGATAGGCATTGTGTTGAGAATCTTAGAAGAAAACAAGAAAGTACTGATTAACATGAGACATTGTGGCAATGATCAGTGGGAACAAGAAAACATACAGGAAAATGTCTATACTGACAAACAACTACAACAGACCTACCAACAAAAAATTATTTGTGTGCCAACTGGAATACTCGAGAGAATACAACATTTCGTGTCTTCCAGTCATTTTGAACCTCACTAAGAGTAGGAGGCACTATAAGAATTCTTACTTGCGTAAAAAAACCGGTTCTCGGAGATATATTCAAACAAAGTCTAGAGTTTGACCCTGATACATGTTTATTGTCATCGCAAAGCAAAGCTTAACAGGAAATTGCTGTCTAGAAAACGGGATACCATTTTTCTCACCGTCCGGACTATTGAGAGGTATTTTTGTTCTACCTCTCAATAGAAAGTAACATTTCCCCTTGTGTGGATCGACAACAATCTCAACATACAAGGAATTTGGCCTCATCCCTCTGCAGATCAATCTAGTTCCATTGCACAAGCCTGTTGCAGGATCTATATTCCTGATCATGAGCAATGAACAGTTTAATTCGATGACCAATTTATGTGGAGGCAATCCCTTTGGATTCAGAGTGTTGAGGAATTCCTCAAAGTCACCCCGGTGCCTAAGATCCAATGCTTTATCAACACTCGTATACACATACTCATCGCCTAAGAATGTTGAATAAGCATCGAATTTATCTCATCGATAGAATCATTTTTAGGGCATAAGATACATCTGTTGATCATCGAATACGCATCAGAGTGAAATAAGTCCAAGTCAATGAATACATGTTGGACAAGCCTGTGGGAAAAGGACCGAAAGAACGACGATATATTAGGAGTAGCAGTAGGGAATGGCTGTAAATTAGAAAGGGAAAATATGCAATCTGAGTTCTACCTATTCAAAGCATTATCACGACCATCGTATGGCAAAACCATTCTAGGTGGCGACGTAACGTTCCCATCCTCGTCAAGGGGTTCCACACCTTCGCCAATGCGATGCAAGAACGAAGAAAACTCTGAATCGAAAGTTGCTCTCATATTCTCCTTGACGAATAGTTTTTTAAGGTTTGGCCAGAACTGAGAACATAGTATGCTCGATTCTACTTGTTTATCTGTAGAAGCATGTGGAATGACTAGGAGAGTTTGCCTAAAGTCTCCGCCAAACACAACGACCGTCCTGCCAAACGGTAAAGATGACCCTATGATGTCTTGGAGGAGTAGGTTGAAAGCCTGAAGGACATCGACATGGGTAATTGATGCTTCATCCCAGAGAATAAGTCGTGCTTCCAAGATTAGTTGGGTTGTACAGCTCTGTTTTCTAATACCGCAGGTCTTTCCCTTGGCAAAATCCAATGGAATTTTGAACCGGGAGTGTGCTATTCTGCCCCCAGGCAGAATCGATGCTGCAACACCCGAAATTGCAACAACAATTGCAATATGGCCTCGGGATCTGACAGTTGCGAGAAGACATCTGTAGAGGTATGTCTTACCAGTCCCACCAGGGCCATCAACAAAAAATGTCTGACCATCTTGCATACGACACTCTTCATTATACAATTATATGCATTTTTCTGGCAGGCATTTAGCTTATCATGTAACAAGAGATCTTCCGCAGAAACTACAATGTTTCTTTCAGAATCGAGCTCAGTGCTTGTTGGCCTAAAAGACATCCCCACACCATCCGGTATTAAATAGTAGTTGCCGATGTGTTTGTTCATTTGTTCTAGGTATCAACTAATATCATCTAAAATCCGGAGCCTAATGTCTGACTCATATAAAGGAGCCAGTATATTAAAGTGTTTGAAATCAGTAGACATTTGATACTCAAACTTAGAAAAGAAATTAGCGGGATCATTTGGGCTGCAGTAAACAAGCAAAACTGCGAAAAGGTACCTAAGGGAAATAGGCATTTGGAATTCAGCCACTTCATTTAGAGTATCTTCAATGTACTCATCAGATTGAAGCAACCCCAACTTCAATGCAGCCTCTCTGAAAGACGAGCATTTCCTACCATCCACGGTCAGATCATTGTAAGACTTTGGAGCTCTTACATTGGAAAGGAGCAACCGCAGGTAATACCTATCACCCTCTTTTGGACTCACCGCCACCATCCTACCTATAAATTTAGCCTTCTTCTGCTCTGTCCATGTTTTTTTCCTGCTTATTCCAGCAGAAGTGTTGTGGGAAGTCCTTGTACAGGAGCTACAGTTTCTGTGCTATAGGATTAATGCGATTAGTTCTAATGAATTCAGTGAGCATGGTTTTCGAGAACTCAGGTTTCTTTAAGAGGACAGATACATCGACATTTGGAGAAAAAGACACCATCTATTCACCATCAAGGTGGACCTGCAATGGATAAACAGATGGCCTCGTAAGGCTGAGGTAAAAGCCATAGATTCGGCAAGCACCTTCAGGCGGTCCAATCCAGCGGGCATCTTGAAAGTCCTTGATTTCATCAATTTCTTTAGGGTCATCAGCCAAAACAACATAGAAGGAGACCCTGTCAATCCCCTTGTAAACGTACTTGTACATATATTTGACTAACTTCACTGTCGAGCAAATCTCGACATTCATATGGCAGTCGTACTTCGCGAGTAAGTAGGGATTGTAGGGCACGACCCAGCGATTACCCAAATCATGCCTAGAAACCGTAATCACCCTGCCATTGTTACACCTACGATGGCAGGGTAAGCATCCTCTGCATGTGAGGTCATTTCAGCAAACAGTTTCGGGTATTTACTTTTGTGATCACCCTTCTTCATACACGGGCTAGTTGGTTTTAGATCATCGCATGGCCCATGGATCATGTGTTTCAAAAAAAGTTTATGCAGGTGAGGATGCTGAATAGGGTCGGGTATTTCAGCCGACACAATCCTGTCGTATGCCTCAGGCCCCAGAGGCTTCCATTTATCCTTTAGGATAATTAAGAAATCAGCATGAGGCATCCCGCGTTTTTGAAACTTGACAACATGCACACAAGCTGCTACTTCCCCAAAAACTTGTGTTTTCATAATGTCCTCTTTCAGAAATTCAAGTTTAGCCCTGAAACGCGTGTGAGCAGATCTTGTCTATCAAACGGCTTCTGATGATATCGTAGGTTTGATTTTATTTCTGGCTAGTTAGTATTGCAGGTGATCGTCAAGAAAATGTCCAGTTTGACAAACTTTTGCACCAATGCCATAGCATCAAGATAGCCAACGCATATCCCTTGGGCCACCAATGAAGAAAGGCGGCAGAATAAGTCTCTTCCCAATATTAGACCCATCTGATTCACCAGCGGAACGAACATCCATAACCCCCTGAAGGATTTCAGACCTAAGCTCATTCTGTTTGTACCGAATAAACTGCAACTAGCATGTTTCTATCTTCACGTATGCATTAATAACATATTGTTGCAGAAGGCACATCGAATCTAAAAGCATGGATTCATCGTCATCCCTCATCTGAAGTTTGTAGCAGTAGTATTCTCGAGCAGTTACCATATTGCGATGCACGGTTCCATCCGACACGACTGGATAGGGAGAGAACAGTAGAAAGAACAGGGAGTAATGAGTAAAAAGCTAAAGAAAAAAAATCGTAAGCTGATATTTAGGAGGTGAAGAGGTAGCACTGGAAGCAGGCTGAAACGAAAGATGAAGAACAGAAGACGTAGAAAATTAAGATACTTGCCTTGCTCCTCTAAGACAATAATGTCCTCAGGAGATTCTACATTGGCGATGGTTTCTTGACCGAAAACATCATCTGTCTTTCGCTTACAGGAGCACGAGACTACATCCTGTCTAGGAATCATGCGGTGCCAGCCCGATTGGCCATCGGGAAAAAGGATCAGGTACTGCAACGAATTGGTGCAAGCATAGTAATGCTTGACATGGTAGCTCTTATCACGCTCTGTGTAGACACGTATGTCTGCACTCCTTTCTAAGCAGTTACCTTCATCGGTTTCCCGAAAAATTGCTGCAATCTGATCACAGGAAGGTAAGTTGTACCGCCTCTGATCCAAATCAGGAGTACAGCTAAGAACTATCTGCTTCTCATTGAGGTCTGGAACATAGCGCAAGCTCCTAAAGAACTTTGTGTTAGGGTTAGAAGAAAGGAGACCACTGAGCAGCTGCAGCGTAATCTCTCTAAATTTATCTGTTGATTGCATCCTCCACGAGATTTCCTTGTGTTCATCGTAGAAGTAGAGTTGAACACCAGAAGGAGGATGACCATTCGGTTGTAGAGGATGCAAGAGGTGATGCATTTGTCCCAGCACGCGAAAAGTGTACATCCCCTTGGTGTTCATAGTCAGGTCACGATCGTAAGTTACACCAAGGGAGGTAAACGCAAAGTTATTATTGTAGCTGCGAATATACTTTTGTGAATTCAAGGGATTCCTCATCCAACCCAACGAATAATCTCCAGAGAGCATATGGCATTGGATGGCTGACAAGCGAAACACCACCCTTGGAGCAGCAGAAATTTGGTGGTTCGAACGGGAAAAGTTTGGCCTGACAGTGCTCGCAGTTTTGTAAAAGCGGAAGCACCATCTATTCTCGAGGAGGGTTGGCCAACAGGTTCAAGGATGGATTCTTCTTCTTTGATCGTGTAGCCCGCTGTGGCCGACATGAAGTGGCTACATCGTCAAGGAATAGAGTGTATATTAGTTTGCTGGAAAGCAGCAGCACAAAGGAAGAGCAGAATAATTTAAGTAGAAGAGGATTTCGAACCCGGAGTCCGCGGCCGGGATTTCCCAGGAGACCATGAGATGGGACCAGCCAAACGAACAGGCCAGTAGATGTTCCAGCAGAAACAGATGGTGAACCAGATGGAGTGGTATTAACTGCTGGGCAATAAAGAAAAGAAAGTGAAAAGACGGTAAAGCACGGAGAGCTGCCATGTGTATAAAGAGAGAAGGGGAAACACGTGAATACCATCACTACCGTGAGCATTTTCAGCACGATCCATGGACTGAAATGCACCAGCCATGTGAATGGATGTTGGAGAAAGAACAGGGCCAACAGGCTCAGATGTTGGTTGACCTGTCGCTGAAGAATGTCCAACCAAGGCAGGGTTTTTGTTTGGCTGCAAGGCCACTTCATAAACGAAGGGCGAATTCTCATGGGGTGGCAAAGGAGAAGCGGCGAGAAGGGGAGTACCGTCACAAGAGACAGTGGTTACAGGACAAGTAACATTGCCACTGCATCCCCGTGCTTTTTTCAAAGCATACGATTGCCTTCTACGAGCAAGGAGGTGTGTTTTTGTTCTGGTGACATCTCTAAAACACGCTGTGCGTAGAGGTCCCTTCTGCGTGCGTTTTTCTGAGCGAGTTTATTAGTTTCGAGTGTCTCAAGAGTTTGGGGTACGGTACAGGCATACAGTAAGTGGAGGATTCAGCGGTGGATGCGATACAGCATCCATCATTACATTTTCTTTTAGGAGCAGGCTTCAAGCCACTGGATTTTGGAGGAGAACTACCCACATTAGGCACCAGAGCTCCCTCCATATCTTTAGAGGAACAGGATTACGGGACAGCGCACGAACTAAACTAAACGAAAGGTCGACAACAGTAACACAAACTAAAAAAACACATGTGAAAACAAAGAAGATAGTAACAGGAGACCAACAATCAGGCGCAACCATAAATTACACAGTGCTAAAATCTTAAAGAAACAAGGACAGAAAACAACCACACATCATCAGCGGCTGGTATATGGCCTATGTAAAAGTGTAACATCTCAACATACCTGAACAGCAAGCAGAGGACTGAGCATGGATTTGAAAGCGAAGAAACCAACAAAGCACGGAGAGACGATCCGGGCGAGCAAAGTAACCACGAGCAACTGGGAGAACATGGAGATAGAGACGTTTAAAGGAGAATGCAACATGCAACTGAAGAGGTCTATTCGAGGAGAAACTTTTACAGAAAGCGAAGCAACGAGAGATATGGAAGGAAAAATATTTGTGAGGAAGAGACGGAAGCAAACAAGAACGAGCAGACAGGAAAGCATTTTAGTCATCAAAATTAGGTTGTACAAATGATCAAAGAACATTGGAAATGAAAACGACAAATAACAAAGAAGGCCATAGAAAATAATCAAACAACAAATGTTGGTTCTCCAGAACCGAATTGATTCGTTCCCAGAACTGAGTGATAAAACTCATTTACAGGGGAAGATCTACTGGTTAATTTACCAAAAAGGACAAAAAAAAAAAAGAAGACCTACTGGCTATAAACAGAGGGGCTAAAGCTACCAAAGACTAACACCTTCATCATTAAATGAATTCGTTCCCAGCAGCGAGTGTATGATTTGGATTGCAGGAATTAGAGGTACAGAAACTAAAATGCGTAGAACGAGCTATCAATTTGGATGAACGAAAGCAGCTCATAGCAATTAGAAGGACAAGCAAACAAAGAAATAAGGCCATTGCAGTAGAGGAATAAGGTGAAATCTAATAATGCAGAGAACAAACAGGGTTCCACTTCCAAACGAAAAAACAGGGTCATGCGTTCTTGAATAGATTCCGAAGATGGCATTGAAGAATCCGTCAGGCAACGAATCAATAAACCACCATTTCGGGCAAGCATAGAAAACCGCCGGTTACAAGGGTGGCAGAAGGCTTCACGGGTGATTCTGTGTCGGTAGCAAGATGACAAGAGGTGAAGACAAATTTCGTGCGGTGGAACGGTGGAGATCCACGATGTAGCCATTATTTTTGCTTTTGTTTCGAAGGAGCAAGGCCGGTTCGGTTGGACGCGTGCGAATAAGGGACGTACGAAGCCACACGCGGGAAGCCTTTGGCATTTGGGCGGACGAACGAAAATGGGCAAAGTGCCCTCCATGCTTTAGACATAACTTTAAAACTAGATACTTGGCACAGGCATCTGTCCGGGCGGCTCCTTCCGTTATAAGTAATTTTTTTGTAAATGGAAAAGGAAATTCTAATCTAAGTGAAATACGTATGTGTGTTATATATATTTTTGTATTATAATGTGTAATGATAGAAATAATAATTATATATATAAGTGGATTTAATGTTAGATGAGGTTGAGAAGATATTTATTTGAAATTATCATCTAAATTTTAGGATCTTTTAATTGATTATATAAAAAAAGGATCTTCCAAACTAATCAAAGTAATATAAGAATCAAAATAAAAAATAAAGATCATAACAACAATAAATTTCATTAAAGCTTTTGTTTTTTTTTTGTTCGCCCGGAGACATGGGAGCAAAATTTTTAATTTGAAACCTTTTGATATGAATTTGAAGCAAAATTTTGGTTAGAGTTATTTATGAGATTTGAAGGGGAATTGAAGCAATGGTTGAATATGTCGATTTTTTGGATGCCTTTTGTGGAAATACGAGTACTCAACAGTTTGGAAGGAATTTGACTAAGGGCTTTGAATTTTAATTTTCACTAATTTGTAGGAATTTAATGTGATCCGGAAGTGTGTCTTAAAAGTTTTTTTTTATCTAGAAATAAGTTTATTTTTTATTTTTTGTTTTAGAAAAAGAATGATACATGGCAAAATGGTTTATATAATATGATGTATTTGGAGCAAAAAAATTTTAATAAGAAATTGGCATATCAACATTATATATTCTACTTTAATAAGATAAAAGTGATAAGTGCGTAGAACAAAATGAGACCATCTTCAAAGGCGACACCTGGAGTTTACTTAACCATGGCATGAAATCTTTAGCTCAAATGATGATCCTGGTGGTTAGTGGTTCGCATCATCTTCTACATAAATCTTAAGGACAAGACTTAAATCAGCAGTTGGAGTATGTCATTGCCTTAGGAATTTTGTTAGAATTTTATAAATTAGAGGGACCTTTTTATAATTAGATCTTGTAATGGCTGATTGAAAAGCTTTTACATATTCGATTTACGGTTTGGAAAAGAGTTGTTGAATGAGATTCCCTTTGCTTAGTCTTTGTCTTCTTCTTCGATAAAGTCTAATTTTCTTTTTTAAAATTCTCTTTTTTCTACCTTCCTTTCCTGTTCTCTCTGAAATTTGAATTTCAAAACTCTCAATTTCTGGATTTTAAATCTCACAAAAGAATTTTGGAATAGCTCTCTATCACCCAATACCTTCTAGCCCAAAATTATTGTGGATCAAAACCCATAAACATTCAAAAATGTTGGCATGCTTATTCTTCCTAATCTCTTTATTATTATTTTGGAAATTTAAATTTTGTTATTTAGGTTTCCTCTTTTATTTTTTTTTAGGAAGAATAACATTTTATTTTTTTATGCTTTTATTATACTTTTTTTAACATTTCAGGTCCAAGTTAGTGGCTTCCTAGTAGGCCAGGCATTGGAAATTCATTTTCCTTATATTACACTAGATTTATTCCTGAACGCTGCTCGGTTTAAATTGGATTATAAAAATTAGTTATTTTGAAAATAAAAATTCAAAATAGAAGGAGTATAAAAAATATATATAATGCAAGAATGAAAGTTGATAATCTAAATAATCAACTTAGTTGATTCTTTGAGAAAAATAATTTTTTTGAGGGTTTTTGGAGGAAACCTTAACTGTAATTTAAAAGTGAATATCTATATATGTCTTTAAATTTTATCTAGGCATACGCCTCCTTCTTTATAACAAAAAAAATTTTTAGGCAAAAATAAAATTTTTAAAAAATCATCTTAAATTACATTTAAGGTGCAATTCCAAATAATTTCATTATGTCCTTAATTTTATGCAAAAAAAAAAAAATATATATACTTAGATTTTCCAACATAACTAATAAGTATATTTAGATATTCTAACAAAACTAATCCTAACCAAGTGATAACTAGAATGTACTAATTTTTTATACAAAAAAAATAAATGAAGTCACAATAAGTAGGATTTTAATTTTGTGAAAGTGAATAACATCAGCGGGCAGTCTTTGCTTCAAATTTCATTATCAAAATCTGCATTTCTTTGATTGACTAAATAGTAGCTTTAATCAGCGTCAATATTAATGTATTATCGGATGAAAGATAGTAAATAATTTTGATATCGAAATATGGTTACAAATTTAGTTTAACCTAGACTACCTAGTTATAATTTTTTTACACTTTAATGAAACAGACTTAGAGTGATAACATGTGGCAGTTAAACTATAACCTTAAATACCCTCCCTGAATGATAAGTAGGAATTAAAAACTTACTAATATATATATATATATATATATATACCCTCCGTCCCATAATTATTGTCCAGTTTGAGTTTTTATTTTTAGTTCAAATTGTACTAGAGGTGAGATCTCAAACTGGACAATAATTTTAGGACAGAGGGAGTATATATTATATGAAGTTATTGTTCCGATTAATATAGATTCCAACCGAGGTAATATTTTTCTGATGACAAAATTTGCAACAAGTTTTTTTAATCACTACAATGTACTCATATCACTATTCAAACCGCATTGGTTAGTAATTTGGCTCCTTGCTAAAGGATTGTTGATTAAGAATGTCATTTTCGTCATATCATTAATTGAACTTTGAAATAATTTTTTTTTAAAAAAATAGAATTTTTATTTTTCTTCCCTATACTAGAATCACCGCTGCATAAATTGTGTCAATTTTGTATATTCTTAAAAAAAATTATATCATTCTGTTAACTTAAAATAGTATGATGGGTTAAACTTTTAAATGGAAAATTTAAAAATTGAGTTAATACCTTCGTTTACTTTTTTGTACTATATTGACGGTAGTCATACCTTTGTTTAGTTACTCGTTGTTCATCTTCATTTAAAGGGATGCACGTACTGAGAACAAATATGTCTAGATCTATTTGTTTTCTTTATTAAACCATTTGGTTCTTTTGCGAGGATTAGAGGTTGTATACTAGATCGGTTCTTGTTCCATTACTAGAGCCGAGTTTGTGGGTTGCTCTAGGGTTTACAAATACAATAACACGTCGCTAAATTAATAATATATAAATTAATAATTTATAGTAATTAATAATTTTTTCCGGTCTTGATTTGGAGACCAGTGCAAAAGTAAAAAAAAATAAAATAAAATCGATAAAATAATCAAATGATAATGTTTTAGAAAATCCCTTATATGTCTACAGGTCTTAACAATATCATAAATTAATAAATACCATAAATGCAAAAAAATAATAATAACTATGATTATTTAGTAAAATGTGAACTATTGACACTTGTTTTTTAGTCCCTGAATATGTG